GCTAAATACCATGGTAATGTTGGGACGAGAACTATTACAGTACACCCTTAATCACAGCAGCAATCACAGCACTCCAACAATCAAGCAAATGCTATGATTAGCAGAAGTAAGCAGTCTTGTCTTGAACTACATATAATCAACTTCGAAATCAATCACTTACGATATAGGTCTATTCAATCCTTTAAAGAATGAAAAGAAGAGTGTGCTAAATACCATGGAAATGTTGGGACGAGAACTATTACAACACACCCTTAGTCACAGCAGCAATCACAGCACTCCAACAATCAAGCAAATACTTTGATTAGTAGAAATCACATAAATCATGCCTATGTTTTCCATTTACATATTATTTCCACCACAGTATTCATTTACCATGTACAACTTATAGTTTTACCTATAAATGTATATGCACAAATATTGTAAAATATATGAAGAGGATTATTATAATTTTTACATCCTTCCTTCATCAATACCTCTGCTCATCAAACTTTATTATGGTATCAGAGCCTTTCTTTCACTGCGGCCTCTTCTAGCTTCTGCAAACACCCAGAACAACAACCATCATGTCTGACTCCACTCCTTCACAATTGATCAATGACCTCACATCCCTACATTTCTTAACTCCCGCCGATAACCCTGGAGCCATATTAGTACCTGATCTCCTTACTGGAGAAAACTATCCTGCCGGGAAACACTTGATGCGTATGGCTCTCAATGCTAAAAACAAGCTTACCTGTGTTGATGGTACTCTAAAGAAACCATCAGACACACAAATTGCAATACTGTGGAATCGTTGCAGCGAAATGGTTCTCTCTTGGCTCTTAAACTCTATTGACAAACCTCTTCGATAGAGTTTGATTTATTGCACACAACCTTCAGATACTTAGGTTGATCTGGATAACTACTTTTCCCAAAGCAATCACCCCCGCCTCTATCGTCTTCAACGTGATCTAGTTAATCTCAAGCGGAACACGATGTCAGTCACCACATATTACAACACCATCAAAGGTTTATGGGATGAACTCACTGTCCTAACTAAGCCCAACCCTTGTAATTGTGATGGTCGTAAAAGGTTGGAGGAAGCAGCCAACATTGAACGGTTATTCCAATTTCTTATGGGACTCAATGACTCTTCCTCCAACATCCGAAGCCAAATCCTAGCCATGGACCCACTTCCCACTGTCTCCAAAGCATATGCAACCATACACCAAGAAGAAACCCAACGCCTCTTGCAAATCCCTTTGCTATCCAACCCCGACACCACTGCCATGGCTGTCACACGCACGTACCCTTCAATCAATCATGGGTCTCATGCTCACAATGGAAAGAAGTGTACCAAATGTGGAAGGGACGGACATTTGGAGTCCTCTTGTTTCGAAATCATTGGGTACCCCGCTCACTGGAACACTAATAAGCCAAAACAGTCGTCCCTGCGATCAACCTCTATGAGAAATCGGCAAAATGATTCGGGCAGTGACCGGCCTCCCACAGCGAACATGGTGTCCAGTAGCTCAATTCTCTCTACTTCGAGTGCAATCCCTGGCCTATCCAACGAGCACTACCAAAAATTGATGGAACTATTGAAGCCCAAGACCAACAACTTCCCCGCCTTCTCTGGTATTTCTCCCTCAACGTCCTCTTTTGCCCCAAGCCCTTGGATAATAGATAGTGGGGCTTCAGCCCATATATCTTGTATGTCTAATTTGCCCAAGGCCACACATATTTGGGTCCATTGTCAATCTCTCACTTTACTAATAGGCTCCATAGCCCAAGTCACGCATATGGGTCACATTCTTGTTCCTCCTCAATCATGTCTTTACAATGTTTTTTTCGTTCCTGATTTTAATTATAACTTTATCTCAATTAGTCAACTCACTAAATCTTCTAATTGTGTTACCATCTTTTCCCCCTCTATTTGTTTGTTTCAGGACCGACACACGAGGAAGCTGATTGGGATGGGTGAAGAACGTGGTGGCCTCTACCATCTTAAAACGCTTAATCAAGTAGCATTTCATATCACAGCAAACCCTACATTCACACCAGACCTTTGACATCTTCGTTTAGGTCATCCTTTAAATTCTTGCATTCCAACAATTTTATGTCATTCGAATAAAATTAGAAATTGTGACAGTTATATTCGAAGCAAACATGCACGCCTCCCCTTCAAATCGGTTGAAAATAAAAGTATTTTTGTCTTTAATAGGATTTATTGTGATATTTGGGGCGGATGTTCCACACCCTCTACAACTGGTGCACACTATTTTCTTACAATTGTGGACGATTTTTCACGTGTTACTTGGGTGTACCTCATGCGTTTTAAATTTGATACATTTAATTGTCTGACCACATTCATTAAAATGATCTACACACAGTTTAATTGTCCAATCAAATATGTTCGGTCGGATAATGGTCAAGAATTTCTATCTCATCGTATGTAAGAATTCTTCCTTAACCATGACATCATTCATGAACGCACTTGTGTTGAAACACCCCAGCAAAATGGTGTAGCTGAACGAAAGCATCGTTACCTATTAAATGTGACTCGATGTCTTCGCTTTCATGCACATTTACATATTTCCTTCTGGGGTGAATGCATACTTACTGCTACTTATTTAATTAACTGCCTACCAACCCCCTCTCTTAATGGCAAAACACCTTATGACATTCTTTTCAACAAGCCTCTCAAATATGATCATCTTCGTGTTTTTTGATGTCTTTGTTATGCACACACTTTAAGTGTACATCGAGACAAGTTCTCACCTCGTAGCACACCATGCATATTCATAGGCTACTCTCAAACTCCACACACCTATCGTGTCTATGACTTGCAATCCAAAAAGATATTCCTATCTCGTGATGTCCACTTTGTAGAATCTAACTTTCCATTTGCTATTGTGCAACCTTCAGATGCCTCATTACCACGCACTTTGCCAGAGACCACACAGTCCCTCGATATAACTTATACTACCTTACCTTCAACCCATGATACACATGAAACTCAAGCAAATGATGAACCTACCATCTCCCCAGAACATGTAATCGTTCCACCTCCATCCCCTAGACCTCGACGCACAGTCACTTGTCCCACATATCTTCAGGATTACATTTGCTCAGATCTACCTCTAGAGGGACCACGTTCATCATCTCCTTCCCAGTCTTTCTCAAGTACGGTTCACTCTTTGCCTAATTTTCTTTCTTATCGTTTTTTTAGTCCAAAACATTTTGCTTTCCTCTCTTCTGTCTCCAAAAATGTTCAAGACCCTGTCCTCTACTCTCAAGCTATACTTGAGCCTCATTGGCAGCAGGCTATGGCTTCTGAGATTCAAGCCCTTGAAGCCAATCACACATGGACCCTTGAGCATCTTCCTCCTGATAAGAAAGCCATTGTTTGCAAATGGGTTTATAAAACAAAATTGCGCACAGATGGTTCCATTGAATGTCATAAAGCTCGTTTAGTTGCCAAGGGTTTCACTTAAGTAGAGGGCATTGATTATACTGACACTTTTGCTCCTGTAGCTAAACTTTTTACTGTTCGTTGTCTTCTTACTATAGCTGCAGTTAAACATTGGATTCTTCAACAATTAGATGTTCACAATGCTTTCCTTCACGGTGATCTTGATGAGGAAGTATACATGCGACCAGCACCAGGATATTGTCGTCAAGGGGAGACACGCGTATGCCATCTCCACAAATCCTTATATGGTCTCAAACAAGCCTCACGTCAATGGTATTCAAAATTATCTCATGTTCTTATCCTTGCATGTTTTTGTCAGTCTGCAGCTGATCATAGTCATTTCACCAAGACCAAGGGTACAACATTTACTGCCGTTCTTGTCTATGTTGATGATATCCTAGTTACTGGTAATGACATCTCTGCCATCAATTCTATCAAACGGCATCTTGCACAGACTTTAAAAATCAAAGACCTTGGTGATCTCAAGTATTTCCTAGGGATTGAAGTTGCTCGATCTCCTAAAGGCATCTTTATAAATCAGAGGAAATATACTTTGGACATTCTTTCTGATTCTGGTCAGCTCAGCTCTTGCCTAGCTTATTTTCCCATGGAACAACATTGCAAACTTAATGATTCGGATGGTGAACTTTTGGATGATCCTAGCTTATATCGACGATTGATTGGTCGTTTGATCTATTTAATTATCTTTCGTCCATATATAACCTTTGCTGTCAACATTCTGAGTCAATTCATGCACGCTCCTCGCAAGCCTCATCTTCATGCTGCTCATCGCTTGCTCCGCTATTTGAAGACTACTCCTAGTTATGGCCTCTTCTTCTCATCCAACTGTAGTTTTCAGATATCTGCCTTCTGTGACTCTGATTGGACAAGTTGTCCACTTACACGACGTTCCACAACTGGTTTCATCATCAAACTGGGTGATAGCCCCATCTCTTGGCGCACTAAGAAACAAAGTAGTGTCTCTCGCTCTTCTGCTGAAGCTAAATATCGTGCTATGGCTACTACAACTTGTGAACTTGTTTGGCTTCGTCTCCTTCTACAAGAACTTACTGTGCCCCATCCACAACCTGTTCTACTTCACTGTGATAATCAAGCTGCCATTCACATTGCTCGCAATCCGATTTTCCATGAACAAACCAAACATATTGAATTAGATTGTCACCTTGTTCGTGAGAAAATTAAATCTGGTCTTCTTACTACTTCCTATGTTTCGAGCTCTCAACAAGAAGCTAATATTCTTACTAAACCATTGGGATGTGAATTATTTGTCTTCTTTCGCTCCAAGTTGGGCATTACGAATCTCCATGCTCCAACTTGATGGGGAGTATTACAGCACAACCTTAGTCACAGCAGCAATCACAGCATTCCAACAATCAAGCAAATACTATTATTAGTAGAAATCACATAAATCATGCCTATGTTTTCCATTTACAGATTATTTCCATCACAGTATTCATTTATCATGTACAGCATATAGTTTCACCTATAAATGTATGCACAAATATTGTAAAATATATGAAGAGGATTATTATAATTTTTACATCCTTCCTTCATCAATACCTCTGTTCATCAAACTTTATTAAGAACTCTAGATTTTCAGCATTCATCAGCCTTGTTTTCTCTTTGAGAAAGGAATATTGGTAGGGAAGGTATCATAGGAAGATATCATTTCTTTCTCTGTAACATCTGTACTTTGTTAACCTTCTGTTGGTATCTGTAAACAATAAAAAAGCCAAGAAAAAACTAAAAATTTTCAGCTAAATTATATTCTTAATAAAGAAACACAAGAAAGAATGCTCAAAGTATTTTAAGAACGAACTATGGAAACAGCAGGACAAGTCATTTTAAATTGAAATGAATTATTGAAGAAGTATATTGTTATAGCTCCTTTTTAATGAGTGAAATTTTATGCTATTTCTTTCCTGCTCCTCTCAAACTTGGAAATTACCATGAATACTAGCTACACCAATATTCAACTTCTTGACTTTTAAAAAACTGATGAATAACACCACCAAGAATAATATATCTATCTTGCTTTAAGGAAAAAGGAAAAGGGAAAGGGAGAAGGGAAAACGGATAAGAAATGAAACAGACATCTTAGTTCATTTTTCATATCCTTCTTATCCTTTGCCTTTTCGACTGCTAGGTGCTACCAATTATTTTTGTATTAAACTATGATTAGATCAACATAATTTCCAGTATCCTTTTCGTGCTTTATAAGTTCTCAACTTTCATCCCTTGTAAAATCATGTTATAAGGTTTACTAAAAGCACAATTCAAGAAAGCAAGTCATCATCATTTATTGGAAATTTTAGCAAGTGAAGTCTGATCAAGAATAGGGAAACTCAGAGATTTTGACATGCTCATTTTCCCTGACCATGCTAACGGTTCCATCTCAAACCCAATTTCGTAATAGGTGAATAGACTTCATATACATACTCGTCTATTAGTTTAGTAAGTTACAATTTATCAATCTGTTTAAAAACCCCAATTCGTATATCTTTAAAGCAAAATACTAATAGAGTATACTCTATAATAGCATCAAAGTTGGCATTTAGAACTATACTATGCAAGGCATTTACACAGTGCATATCAGAGCATAAAACCATGTTTTCCATATTATTTCTGTGAAAGATGTACGTACAATTAATAACCACTATCAACAATTTCAAGCGATGTCGGGATGATGGGTAATAAAACAGGAAATTAAAATAAGACAAATGTGAGACCAAAAGTTGTGAAATGACTGCGACAGAGTTTCAGCTGGTACGAGCCAAACTAAAAACTCAACCTGCAATCATCAAATTCAGCAGTAAAAATGACAATCTCAGGTATCCTTTAGAATCTGCAAAATTGAAATAAACCATCACAAGGACATGGATGCAGCTAAATGAAGATAGGAGCTTCCACCCTACATTCAGGATAATGAAAATATGTCGACATTTTTTGTCTAATTTATAGATCGAAGTCAGTTTTTAAGTCAAAATGCGATGATTTTGTCTGTGAAACTCATAATATATTGATGTTTTCCTCAACAAGATCAGCCCAAAACGAACTTCTAACAAATGCCCACTGATTACACAAGACTTGTGACTTAAGAGACCTTCTACAGCATTTTTGTTTAAAGCGCTCTTTTAGTTTCGGACATAAATTTAGCAAGATAAAATCAATAGAAAAAAAGGATATAGTCAAGAGAAATTTTTATATCCCCAAAACAAGTCGATGACGGATCATAGAATCTGATTTCTCCACAATCATAAAATAACTGCAAGATGAGAAAGGGAAAATGTTACAAGTACTAAAAATATCTCATTAATTAATATCAATAGAATTTAAAGGCAAATACCTCAATTCAGCTCGTTACAAGAATACCTATTGCATCTTGACTCAATTCCAACCATGTTTAGCTGTAAATCTTATTCATAAAAATTACTTAATTTTATATCATGGCTTTATGAACAACTTGCTCTTCTATTTACAGAAATCAGCTGGTTTAATACACTACAAGATAAAATGCAGTTATTCCAAAACCAATTCATGAAATGTGCTTATTCCATAACAAATTTCAAGAAATCAAGAATAATCAAATACCAAATCGTCACAAGAATGCGTTTTGCATTGTAACCCAATTCTGTCAACACAATACTAAGTGAATTCCAAAACAAATTCAAGAAATCAAGACAAAATTAAATATTAACTCATCATCCACCTTTTGTAACACAGTACCAGATGAAATACATAAACTCCAAACAACTTCAAGAAATCAAAAACTATCAAGATAACCATAAATCCAAACCCCACCTTCTGTTACAGTGAAACAGTCCAATTCAATAATTCACCATACATTAAAGTGAATGCACAAACCCAACTAAAATACATCAACAAAAAACCTGAAATACGGACATATCTGAATTACTTCTTTTTCCCTTTGGCAGACTTCCTCTTGGGAGGAAGAACAATCTCTCCTTTAAGCACAGGGATTTCCATAATCTGCGACAACCCACCGAATTTCTTACGGAATTTTTCAACCTGGTCAGCATCAACGAGAAGCTGTGACCTGCTACCCAGGTAAAATGGGTGGTTCCCAGACCATACATCCACAACATACTCTTTCTTGGTTCCACCAGTAGTCATAACCAGTTCACCATTGCAGTACACTTTCGAATTTTCAAAGAATTTCGGGTGTATGTCCTTCTTCCTGCAACTCCACCGCATCCGATTGCTGCCAATCACTCCCTTCACCTGCACATTAAAAAAGAAAAAAGAAAAAAACACAATTATAGCACAAAATTTTCCCATTTTGTTGCATTTTTATGAAGTAGAAGATTCTGTTATTTATTTATTTTACCTTGTCAGTGAGAGAAAGCGGGGGAGTACAGAGATTTTTGTACACGAATGGACTGGATAGAGTCAGCGCCATATTTGTTTTTCGAGGGAGACACAGAGAGCAAGAATTAGCAATGGAAATTGAGGATCAAGATTGTATGGCGGGGGGCGTTTGGGCTCACGAGGTAATGAAAATTCAACTTTCAAAAGTACTCATTGATGGTGTTTTGAAAATATATATGAAATGTTTATTGAAAGTAAAAAATAATGTTATATTAAAAAAGTGACACAATATCATTTTATTTTATAAAAATTATTACTTTTTAATTTTAATAAAAAAGAAGTGGCACAATGTCACTTTTAAATTTTTTATTAAAAAAAAACATATAATATCACTTTTATTAAAAAGTAATTTTTGTTAATAAAAATTGATAGAAATCAATAAGGTGACTTAAAAAAAGTGAGAAAAAAGTGACATAGAGTAAAAAAATGATAGAAATTTCAAAAGAAATGACGAGTTCAAAAAAGTGACACGATATCACTTTTTCATATATATAAAAAAGTGACTTTTCTAAAAATCTAAAAAGTGGTAGAAATTTCAAGAAAGTGATAGAAAAATAGTGACAAATGCTAAAAAAAGGTGATAGAAATTAAAAAAAGAGAGAAAAAAAGAAGAAGATAAATACTCAAAAAGTGATCAAAGTTTCAAAAAAAAAAAAAAAAAAGGACTAACATTCAAAGAAGTGACAAAACACCAATTAAAACATGAAAATCAAGGACGAACATGTGGGTCACTTGACCTCACAGAATTTTCATTTTTTTTTTTTTAAGTTATCCAAAGATTCCAAATGTCCCAAGTCCAATTAAACATAAGCCCATTTGCTGATTTGCACTCGAGCCCATTTATTTAGCTTAAACTACCAATACATTCCTATTTCCTCCATGTGATTCGTGAATCGGTAAATGCATTTCTAACTCATCAATAGCCCTAAAATTTAAATCCCACGCAGCCATGCTGACGACGCCGCAGAGAGAATCATCTATGGACTATGGTGATTTGCTGATTCATCATTCATATTTCTGGATTTTGCTCTTCTAAGTAATAAATCGACACCCTCTTTTTCACTTGTGCAAATTGTGTGATTTTCTCATTTTTAGTGACTTGGCTATTGGTATGTTCTCGTGACCTCATCTACTTAAAGTCTTAAAAGGACTGTTTGATTGAATGCTAACAAAATGATTCAACCTAATAAACTTAAAGGTAGTGGAATTCTGGTGAATGGTTCGTCACTTCGTCTTCAGGTCTTCTTGTTATCTATGGCAAAAAAATTGGAAATTCTGAATAAGGGTTCATCATAGATCCGAATTCTTTGGTTGGTTTAGAATCTGCATTTTTCTGGACGGTATATTACATTATTACTGGACGGTATAGATCTGCATTCTTTGGTCTGTATGTGTTTGAATTATTGGAATTTTAATACAGTAGTACGGTATATTAATTGGCTACATTGTAATTTTTTTGTTTTTCGTTATCAATATTCGAGTTTGATTTTTCTTAAAAACTAATTTAAATGTTTTTTATGTTTAGAGTTTAGCTCTTGTGACTTTTCCAGAAACTTAGTATGTAATTAGCAGTGTATTGGTAGGAGATTTGGGAGTAATTCATTGCACTTAGTTGAGAAAGTTAGATAATTAAGTTGATTAGTTTATTATTCTCTGTCGTTCCTTTTGAAGATGACAAATTCAGAAAGGGGTCTTTATTTAAAAAAGGTTGAACCCCAACCTTAAGGGCCCCCACCGACCCTGCCCTGGACCATCGTGGAGGAGGTAAATCGCAGGATGTGCCTCCCAGGAGCCAGGGTGGAGAGCACATGGATAGGCCAAGGCTGTTAACCCATATGGTAACTCCCGCTTGCAACAAAGCCAATTCCACCTTGCGGGGAATCGAACTCTGCACACTGCAGCGCTGAGCCCTATCCGCCCTCCCCTTTGCCATTGGGAGAGGTGAAGTGAAATAATTTCTTTCTCTCAATGTCTAGGATCGAAGAGTGTGATACAATAATGTTCATAGTTATTCTTATAATCGTATTCATATTTTAATTAAGCTGATTAAATTATGAAAGTATTTTAGTTTTAACTTCCACTTGTGACTCGTACATTTTAGTTGGCAGCCGACAGCCTAATTGTGGAGTGGAGATATAAGCTGCTTGATGAAAAGAGATTATTATCAATTTCAAGTTTAGATATCATTCCCAATTTCAATTTTCAAGTAAGTAATGACTTTCTCTAACTTGATGAAATAGACTTGTTCATGAAATTAATTGTTGCGTAATATTATTTATGAATTTCGTGTTGCCCTTTGATAAAAAAATGAAATATGATATTAATAAATTTGTGTATTGAATTTGATTTTATAACAGTTATGGAGAGATATTTTAAACAAAAATCCGTAATTTCAAGTGGAGAGCAGAATGTAGTTGAAGCGAGTGTTCAAGATAAAATAGATGACCTAGAAGAAACAAATATTGGGGGTAAAATAGATGTTCAAGACAAAATTGATTTAGCACAACTTTCTTCAGATCCTGGATTGAGAACTCCAATTGTGAATTACAATGTTAATGTTCAGGATAAAATTTGAAGAGCATATATATAAAGGGGTCCATGTCAGCCTCGAAATCATAAGTATCCACAAAAAGAATTTGGAGATTTGTCCTTAAGGAGATTTAAATCTTCCTGATTTAATGACTTCCCTAATTGGTTGGAATATAGTATAGAAAAAAGATGTTCTATTTTTTTTTTTTTTTTTTTTTTTTGTTATCTTTTCAAATCAAATAGTGAAGAACATGGCGGTGGTGATACTTTTGTTGATGGAGGGTTTTCAAATTGGAAAAAGAAAGGACGGATTCAAACTCATGTTGGTGCGCACAATCAAACACGGATTAAGTATTAGGCTTCTGTGACTCAAAAACAAAATATTGATAGTGTTCTCTTTAAAAAGTCGAAGAGAACAAAATATGAGTACCGAGTTCGTTTGAATGCATCAAATGATTGTGTTCGATTACTTTTACGGCAAGGGCTTTCATTTCGTGAAAATAATGAATCTGAAGATTCTAGGAATCAAGGGAATTTTCTTGAACTGTTGAAGTGGTTATGTAAGGCTTCTTGTTTGAGAAATGCTCCCGAAAATCTTCAATTGACATCACCTAGTATTCAAAAGGATATTGTGATTGCTATTGCATTTGAAACACTTGATGTTATTATGAAAGATATTGGTGATGGGTTGTTTTCTATTCTTGTTGATGAATCTCGTGATGTTTCAGTGAATGAGCAGATGTCAATTGTTTTACGTTATATGAATAAGAAAGGACAAGTAATGGAACGTTTTATCGGTGTTGAGCATGTGTCTAGTACTATAGCTCTCTCACTTAACGATGCCATTGAACACTTATTCTCTAGATTTAACTTAAGTATATCTAGTTTAAGAGGTCAAGGTTACGATAGGGTAAGTAATATGCAAGGTGAGTATAATGGTCTTAAAGCACTTATTTTGAAATAGAATTCGAGTGATTTCTATATTCATTGTTTTGCTCATCAGCTGCAACTAGCTCTTATAGTCATGGCAAACAAACATGCAGAGATTGAAACATTCTTTACTCTAGTGAATAAAGTGGTGAATGTTGTTGGAGGATCGACTAAGCGGTGTGATCTTCTTTGAGAGAAGAAGAGGCTTGAAGCTGTTGAATCATTGAATCTTGGTGAAATCTCAAGTAGAAAAGGACTTAATCAAGAAACTAATTGGCGACCCAGTGATACTTGTTGGGCTCTCACTATAGTTATTTACTTAGCTTGATTATCATGTTTTCTGCTACAGTTGATGTAATTGAGATGATTGCCACCGATGAAACTAGTTTTGGACAGAGAGGTGAAGCTCGTATTCTATTGGGATTTATGTTAACATTTGCTTTTGTACTCAGTCTGCATTTCATGAAAAAGGTATTGGGTATTTCAGATGAGTTGTCAAAATCATTACAAAGAAGAGATTAAGACATTGTTAATGCTATGAAATTGGTGAAAATATGTAAAAAAAAATGACTTCAAATAACGAGGGACAATGAATGAGACTCATTTTTACAAATAGTTTCTTGTTTTTGCGAAAGGCACAACATTGATGTTCCCAACATGGATGATATGTTTATACCTCTAGGTCGCTCACTGCGTAACACTCAAGGAATAACAAATCTACATCATTTTTGTGTGAATTTCTTCTATGCTATCATCGATCTGCAAATTCAAGAGTTGAATGATCGTTTCTCTGAGACAAATAGCAACTTACTCCTTTATATTGCATGCTTATGTCCGAAAAATTCATTTTCTGTTTTTGACAAGGACAACTTACTTCAATTCTGTAAGTATTATTCTAATAATTTTAAACCAGTAGAGATCTTGACACTTGAAGGGCAACTTCAAACATATATTATTGATATGCGCAGTCACAAAGATTTTGAAGGGTTACGAAGCCTTAATGATCTTGCGGAAAAGTTGGTATTGACAAAAAAAAATGATGTATACCCATTGGTTTACAGGCTTGTAACACTAGCGTTAATTCTTGCAGTTGCTACTGCTACGGTAGAGAGAGTATTTTCTGCGATGAAGATTTTCAAGAATCGACTACATAATCGGATGGGAGATCAATGGCTAGATGACAGTTTAGTTCCATATATTGAGAATGATGTATTCGCCAATATTAATAATGATATAATTATACGACGTTATCAAAGTATGAAAATGCGTAGAATACAGTTGTAATAGTGATTAACGATATGTTGTTTTAAAAAAAATTGTATTTCAATTTTTGACCCCACAATGTCGAATGTCTAGCACTGTCCCTGATGGGAATTAATTCAATAAAGTGACAAAAAACAACACGCCACCATCTCTCCACTTTCTCCATACAAGCATTTGTAGATCTTAAGTTTCATGACATTTTCTTGAGAAGTTTAAATTTACACGTTCGTCACAAATTTTGTTACTTTTCTGCTTGATTTAGAAAATAGAAGAAAATGGGATTTTCATAACTCAAAGGAGGTTTTTCGATCAATTTGAAGGGCTATTGATATGATCCAGGAGTCGAGTCCGACGAAGGCAAGTGCGAGACGAGACCCGTTGATAGTCGATGGCGGACCAATGACGCGATCAAGGGCAAAGCAAGTGAAACAAGCGATGGGATTGCTCGTTCAAGAAACCATTGATGGAACAATGTTCAGGACTCAAAGTGGAGCAACTTTCATGTTCGGGTCGAAGGCCGAATCAACTTGGATCAATTTGTCATCAAGTGACGAAACCGGAGGCTGAAAACAAGCCTGTGCGGCCACACGGGCAAAACATCATGCGGCCACACAGTGGCATACAAAAAAAAAATATTGCATTTCTTGTTGAACCATGCGGCCACACAAGCCGAAAAATTTGGCGAATTTTCTAATTTTGGCCGAATTTCCTAGTTTCGATAGAATTCTTATAAAATCAAATTATTACCATAATTTGATGGTTTTGAACGTTTTTATTCATTAGTATAAATAGGAGAATATTTTTTATTGTAAGAACTTTTTGACTTTTGCTTAATATTATAGAGAGAGAATTGTTCTTTCAATTTCTTGTTCTTCTTGAACAATCTTAGAACTTATCAAGATTCAATTTCTTGTGGCATTCTAAACAATCGGATTGTGGGTTCTTTTAATTGTAATCAAGGGGTTTTAGGTTCTTTGCTAATCTAGGGTTTCTTGGTTCAATTCTTGGGGTTCAAGATCCAAAACCGGGTTAGTATTGGCGTTCTTGGGTTCCGCATCAATCTCGTTGTGGGTTTTGTAGTTTTCATTGCTACGGGGTTCGCATCAATTGGTATCAAAGCTTTGGCTCCAATTTAATCAGGTTATATCCTTTGTTTTCTAATTTTTTTCAATTCCTTGTGTTCTTGTGTCCAGAAGGTTTTCTTGATCTTTTGATCCAAAAGTTTCATAAAAAATCGTCAAATTCCATTTCTGGGCTCGATTTTCGCCCGAATCAGTTTTTGTTTTCTTTGTTGGTTTTGTTATTGATTTTCGGATCTAAAAAAAAACTTGTTAAATATTATTGATCTGTCAAATACCAACTTTTATTATTCATTATCATTTCTAAATTATTTGGACACATTAAATCATTCCACTCCTTCAATTCAAGTCAAGCTTTAAAAGTTTTCTTTGAGTTCTTGGTTACAATTATTGAGTCACATCCGGTTTGGGAAATTCTACACGATTTGATTGATTGATTGAGTTCATTGATTGTTTCTAGAAGCAATTGTTGAAAGAACTGAGTGGTAAAAGGCAGAGAGGTGAGCTTAATAGAGGGTAAAAGCCATTGTGTTTTTCGAGTGACTTTTGGTGAAGCAGTAAAATAAAATCTTTAGTGTTAGGATGTCAGAAAGGGCAGAATCAAACTCAAGTCGACAAGGCAATAATAGCAATGCATCGGAGGATTTAATGCAAAGGTTTGAGAGGGTGTTTGGAGATGTGAGAGATAGGTTAGAGAAGCAGGAGGCTTGGATGAATAGATTAGATACATCGGTGGCTAATCTTAGTCGGAGGCATCGAGTGGATGCATCCAATGCCAGAGGACCGGATAGATGGGAGCCTAGGAGGGAAAGGCGAGAGGAGTATGGATATGGGAGTGACATGTGCGAAGATGAATTTCACGGTGTTGAGATGGGAAGGATGAGGAATAGAGGCAATAGGTTCGACAGACGGGGTCGGAATGATTGCGGGGAGGAGTTGGATGGAAATTTGGGAAATATAAAAATGATAGTTCCTTCATTCAAAGAAAAGAGTGATCCCGAGTCATACTTGGAGTGGGAAAGGAAGGTTGAAATGATCTTCGAGTGTTATAACTACTCGAAGGAGAAAAAGATGAAGTTATCAGTTTTGGAGTTCAGTGACTATGCAATTTCATGGTGGGATCAAGTGATTACTTCACAACGTAGGAGTGGGGGAAGACCAATCAGCACTTGGGAGGAATTAAAGTCATTGATGAGAAAGAGGTTTGTTCCTAGCCACTATTACCGAGAGATCCATCAAAAACTGCAAGGTCTATATCAAGGGTCGAAAAGTGTAGAGGACTATCATAAGGAGATGAAAATACTCATGATTAGGGCCAATGTGGTGGAGGATCGGGAGGCTACCATGGCATGATTCTTGAATGGGTTGAATAGGGAAATTGCCAATGTAGTGGAGTTGCAACATTATGTGGAGTTGAAAGACATGTTGCATGTGGCTATGAAGGTATAGAGACAGCTGAAGAGGAAATGGGCAGCTAGACAGCCGTTAGGAACTTCGAGTGTCAATCCATCTTGGAAGTTAGGGTGGAACAACAACAACAAAGGTAATAAAGCTGTACCTAAAGCTAGAAATGAGTGGTAGAAAGGGAAAGAAGAAAGTGCTAGCAAAACAGCACCAAAAACAGATTCACAACCATAAAGGAATCAAGACATCAAGTATTTCAGATGCTTGGGGTCAGGGCACATTGCTTCTCAATGCCCAAATAAACGGGTAATGGTTTTGTTGGATAATGGAGAGGTGGTGAGTGAAAGTGAAGGAGAGTTTGAGGACATGCCTACATTGAAGGACGTTGAAGAAGAAGAAAAATTGGAGTTTGCTGTTGGGGAATCGTTGGTGTCAAGGAGAGCTCTTAACACTCAAGTCAAAGTGGATGATTCGGAGCAGCAGCGAGAAAATATATTCCACACACGTTGTTACGTCAACGATAAGGTATGTAGTATGATTATTGATGGTGGGAGTTGCACGAATGTAGCTAGCACAACTTTAGTTGAGAAATTAGGACTAGCATTGTTAAGATACCCTAGGCCTTATAAGTTGCAATGGTTGAATAAAAGTGGGGAAGTTAGGGTGAATAAAAGAGTTTTAATTAATTTCTCAATTGGAAGTTATAGTGACAAAGTATTATGTGATGTGGTGCCTATGCATGTGGGTCATATCTTGTTAGGAAGACCATGGCAATATGATAGAAGGGTCACACATGATAGATATAGGAATCGTTATAGCTTTGTCAAGGATGGGAAGACTATTACTCTTGCGCCATTAACACCGGCACAAGTGTATGGAGATCAAATCAAGCTGAAAAGTGAGGAAGATGAGAGAATAAGAGGGTCAGGAAAAAGGAGAGGCAATAGTGAAACCATCAATAAGAGAGAAAATAGTGAGGTGGCTGAGAGTGGAGAAAAGAGAGAGAAGCCACATGAGCGGAGAGAAAAAGAGTCAGTTGAGAGGAGAGAAAAAGAGTCAGTTGAGCGGAGAGAAAAGCCAAAGGTCAACTTCTATGCAAAAGAGAGTGAGTTGAAAAAGGCTATGAGCGATAATAGGCAAATGATATTGTTAGTGTACAAGGAGTCCTTCCTCAATTTTGAGGATTCTAATACATCCCTCCCTAGTTTGGTTAAATCTTTATTGTAGGAGTTCGATGATGTGTTTCCTGAGGAGATGCCAAGTGGATTGCCACCAATCAGAGGCATCGAGCACCAGATTGACTTTGTACCCGGAGCTGTCATACCGAATTGACCAGTTTACCGAAGCAATCTCGAAGAGATGAAGGAGTTTCAAAAGCAAGTAGAGGAGTTGATGAGCAAAGGTTATGTCAGGGAGAGCATGAGTCCATGTGCTGTACCTATTTTGCTGGTGCCTAAGAAGGACGGGACTTGGAGAATGTGCGTGGATTGTCGAGCTATCAACAATATCACGATAAAATATCGTCACCCAATACCTAGGTTAGATGATATGCTTGATGAGTTGCATGGTGCTTGCATTTTTAGTAAGATTGATCTTAAGAGTGGGTATCATCAAATTCGCATGCGAGAGGGTGATGAGTGGAAAATGGCGTTTAAGACTAAGTATGGATTGTATGAATGATTAGTTATGCCGTTTGGACTCACTGATGCACCTAGCACTTTTATGCGTTTAATGAACCATGTTTTGCGTGCTTTTATTGGGAAATTTGTTGTAGTTTATTTTGATGACATCTTAATCTATAGCAAAAATCCAGATGAGCATTTAGAACATTTAAATTGTGTGCTTATTATGTTGCGAAAGGAACAACTATATGCTAATTTCAAAAAGTGCACATTTTGCATGGATAGAGTTGTTTTCTTAGGATTTGTGGTTAGTGCTAACGGGGTGGAAGTCGATGAAGAAAAGATAAAAGCTATAAAAGAATGGCCAACACCTAAGATTATAATTGAAGTTAGGAGTTTTCATGGATTAACTAGTTTTTATAGGCGATTTGTAAGAGATTTTAGCACCATCACCACACCGTTGATTGAAATAGTAAAGAAGAGTGTAGGTTTCCAATAGGGAGAATCTCAAGAAATTTCATTTAACACAATTAAGGATAAGCTATGTAAAGCACCTATTTTGGCATTACCGAATTTTGATAAAACATTCGAAGTTGAGTGTGATGCATCAGGAATATGTATAGGAGCAGTGTTAATGCAGGAAAGGAGACGTATTGCTTA